CTTTCCCTTCCTGAGGTGCTGCCCAGAACTGGGGAGGGCTGCTGGGCTGCGCGCCATCTTTCTGACCTCTGAGGTGTGACCTCTCCTGCCTGGTCTCTCCCCTCCTGACGTTGCTGCTTGGTGCTGCTGTGTTCTGGGCCGAGGTATCTGGGCATGTTCCCTCCGCCCAGCAGGAGCCCAGGGCGTCTATCTTTGCCCCCTCAGCCCTGCTTTGTCTCCTGACCCAGCAGATCCTTGGGGCTTTAGTGAATCCTTCATCCAGTCGTAGGCCATCCCACACCATTGCTTTTGCTTCAGAGGCCCTCATCCTTTCAGACAGGAACGCCATCAAGGCCCACTGGCTAGCAAATCTCTGTCTTCTGTATCCCCTGTCATTTGGGAGCTGGGTCGGACTAGTGACATTATACTAGGCCGTCTTCCTGCCGTAACACACCTTGCCGTGATTTCTACTCTACAGTGACTGTTCCGTGACAGCACAAGGGCCCCTGAAATGTGGTCTCTTCCCACAGTCACACATGGGCACTTGGAGTCACTCATGAGGCTCAGAGCACTGTGTTATCTGTTTTCCCTCAGTCCTCAGTTTCTTGGCTGAGAAACAGTGTTTGGTGTCTCTGGGTCTCTAAGAAATCGGTTTTATGATCTAACCTTGTCCCCTCTTCTCCCTTCCTCCCTTCCCACAAGAAGGCTATCTCATGTTTATGCACTAGCTGGGCACCTCGGCTGAGGGGCAGGCCTGGGAGAGGCTCTCAGCGTGATAGGTTGGGAAACCAGTGATTTGTTCTTCTAGGGGACAGGGAGGTTGTTCTGTTTCCTCTGCTCACTCTCAAGGATCTCAGTAATTAAGAGCACTCATTTCCTGCAGAAAGTAGATACTACTGAGCCATGGCTCACAGCCTGCTTCCTTTATGCAGGTGATGGGAAGCCTTGGAACAAGGGCTTGGAAAGTTTGCTGGACATTACCTGCCCCACTCTCCCTGCCTTAGCTCCTCGACAAACACACCTCCCAGATGTTGTATGGCCACCAAAACTCCTTGGTCTTGTACAGGTGTTTCAGTCTGGCAAGGCAGGAACAGAGAGGGCCTATGATGGATCTGCTTTCTTTCTGGCCCTATTTTGGGCTACCTGTTCCACCACTGAGCCACAAGTCCATATTCTCTCTCTCTCTCTCTGTCTTTTTGGTTAGAGGTTTTTTTCCTTAGGGCGTGTGTGCTCCCCAGAGGAGAGACAGACAGACACGGTGAGAGCTAAAGTGAGAAATCCCCCAGGGGAATGGTCACACAGCAATTTGTTCTCCTTCATTCTCCTCCTCAGATCTTGGGCATGCATGCACATATACCTGGCCTGAGTTTCGAGCCACCATGTCTGGGACTTGAACTGTGGTCGACCATGTGGGAGTCCAGTGACGTAACCACTATACCATCTGCCGGCCCTTTTGTTAGCCTCTAGAACTTCAATCCAGGGTCAGCTAGCTTCAAGAAGAGCAGGTAGAAGAAAAATAAGCTTGGGGTCTATGAATGTACTACACATTCCAAGCAAACTAAGCCTAATCAGCCTCTTCCTACAAAATGCTAAGATCTTTGTGGTAGGTTTTGGGTTAGGGTTAGGGTTCAGGGATAGAATTAGGGTAAGTGTTATGTTTTCGGGATAGTGTTAGCGTTAGCGTTAGGGTTTAGGGATAGTGTTAGGGTTAGGGTTACAGTTTAAGGATAGTGCTAGGGTTTGGGTTAGGGTTAAGGGATAGTGTTAGGGTTAGGGTTAAGTTTTGGGACTTGAACTGTGGTCGACCATGTGGGAGTCCAGTGACGTAACCACTATACCATCTGCCGGCCCTTTTGTTAGCCTCTAGAACTTCAATCCAGGGTCAGCTAGCTTCAAGAAGAGCAGGTAGAAGAAAAATAAGCTTGGGGTCTAGACTGCTGCCTTCATTTTCCGCTTCCTTTGTGCTTTCAGTCTCTTTGTTTGTAACTTGGGCACAATAATGCACTCAAAGGGTTATGGTAAAGAGGATTAAAGGAGGGAACCAGTAGCTAGCGTAATGGCTATGTCGCTAGACTCCCACGTAGTTGACCGCGGTTCATGTCCCGGACCCGGCGGCTCTCTCTTGTAAGTGTAAACAACCGCTGGCAAAATTAAAAAAAAAAAAAAAAAAGGGAATACAGGCCAAAGGGAGAGAGCTTAGCCGAAGAAAAGGAACAGTCAGAGAATGAGAAGATAAAATTAGATCAGCAAGAAGGATGAGAGTAGACAGAAGGAGATAAGGTGAAGTGAAAAATGATTAGGCATCTATTGTATGCCATGGTCAATGCTAGGAATATTTCAAATAACATCTCCTTTAATACTTTTTTTTTTGAGAGTTTTTTTTTTTTTTTTTTTTTTTTTTTTTTGCTATAGGGCGCGTGTGCTTGCCAGACAGACAGAGACACAGAGACAGAAAGCGAGAAATCATCCCCCAGGGGGGATGGTCACGCCGCAATCCCTTCTCCTCCATTCTCCTCTCAGGATCTTGGGCACACACACGCGCCCGGCATGAGTTTTAAGCCCCCGGGTCCATCATTCTCTGACTGTTCCTTTTCTTCCTCAGTTCCGTTAAAGAGGCAATGATATAAACTTTTCACTCAGGCAGGTTGACCTCCCCCAAAATTTGAGGTCATCCTTTACTCTTCTCTTTCCTTAACCCTACTACATCCAACCTGTTGCCAAATCGTTTCCATTCTTCTGCCTCCTCAATATCACGCAAACTTTTTTTCATACGTCCAAATTTTGGTCCCCAGCTGTGCTATTTTATCATTCCATTGCTCCTTTATACCAGATGGTGTCGCTGTTGAGCCGCCTGCCTTCACCGACCTAATGTTACTGGGTCAAAAGCCAAACTGTTGCAAAGGCCTAGATGCTGTCTTGGGCCAGAGAGTCTGAGAAGAGACAAGTTCACATCCTCATGTTCTGTTCAGTG